GGGGGGGGGGGGGGGATGGGAACCTTTGGAATTGACTCATACATAATGTGCAGACGTCACGGATATGACTTTATGCACTTCGTTAAAAATGAGCCAAACATATAAGTCATAGTACTACAATCTAACATAGATTAATAATGATATTATACTAAGCTGATATATTGCCCTGCAAATCCTACGAACACTAGTTGATTTATCATGTTTTGTTCCCTATAGTCTATTGCAAAGTCACAGTTCAATGTCCAGTTTAAAACTTACTGCAAAGTTAGTAGAATTTCTGTCATTGGGCTGGACGTTGGACGCGGGCTCTTTCGTCTGCCAAATAATCAATTATCGTTCAACGGAAACGTCCTGAGGACGAGCGACGTCACGTTCGTGACGGAACAAAATGGCTATGGAAGCATCGTGGGCAAGTTCAACGGTGAGGTACTTAAGTGCAGCGGTCACGGGGCAGTGAAGCGAAAGACATGCGTCATACCACGAGCAAAAAAACCTTGGTCTGGAAAAATCACTGTCACAGTCTTTGGTATAGGAGGACATAATCCTTCTACGAGCTACTATATGAGAGGAACACCAGGTAATGTACTTTGCGCACTTCAAACGTACACAGGATACCCATAAAAGGCCCTTTACAGCGAATATGGCATCAAATTTGAATAGCTCACTTCCGAGATATGCTGTGATATGTTTCACCATATATCGCGCACAACGGTGTCAGTACAAGGGCACGTGCTAAATCAGATTTATCTTCTGTCACGTAGCCTTAAGGAGCACTGATTTAGCATATTACAGTGATTTTTTTTTTCCACCCGTGAAAGAATAGCCAACGTAATACACAATAGTAGACACGAATTGCATTGTTTTCTTTTGTTATACTTTGACTGTTATTCAATAATTATATAACTTCGTTTACACGGCCAAGTAAAATCACTCTAGTAACAGTAAAGCATATCTCGGACGTTGGCTGTTTTACTTGTTTTGACCTGAATTTGCGATGTTTTCGAGATAGTATGCCACGATGTTAATACACTACGAAGTAAATATTAATCGCTTGTGGTGACTTGATCCTCTTTAATTTTGCAGTTTGTTTAAMCTCTGGATACGACGGAGATAACTGTGATACTGGTAAGTTRATACCACAACAGCCCGCTTTGCGTGGTTGTGGGCTTCTTTTCTGGTCCGCAGCATCTAAACTAAACCTAGGAATTACCCCCAAGTGATTCCATTACATCTATCAGGGGCGTATTGGGATACCTGTGGAATGGGTGGGAGTTTTCGCGCCAAAATGCGTGTGCTCGCCCCTCTTATACTCTCGCAGCGCCGTTGACACAAATTGGCTTGCGTGAGCTCATTGCCAATACCACAATAAAGACAAGATTAGAATGAAATTTTACTGGGACCACAGAAAATCTTATTCCTGTTACTCTGGCGCCGGCTGTAGTCTTCGTGTAGACCACAAGATAATGCCTGGCGAAAGACATTCCGAAAAAAGAGTCGATACCATTTTGTTTCCTTATTTTGTGTCTAATATTTTGTGTTTTTGTTAGACATCAACGAGTGTGAGAAGTACAAAGACAAACGGCTGTGTCATTGGCAGAACGGCTGTGTTAACACACTCGGTAGTTACAGGTGTACCTGCCCAGCAGGATTCAAAGTATCGGTTAAAGACTTCAGGCTTTGTGATCCAGGTATTGTAAAAAAATGTACTTGTATGTAAATCATCTTTATTTAGAGTCTCAACTTGTGGATCTTTACGTTTAACGTCTTTCACCAAGCTAGTTTTATTGCACTTATGATTGGTCTATAATATCATGCACATGATAAGGGACTGAATGACTTCAGCTTGTTGGCAGAAGTGTTTTATTGACAGCAACAATATGTGGTCGTACCGTCAAAATGTATCGTCATAATATCGAAACCAGCGTCTGTAAAAGCCTCAAACCAGGAAACTTTTCTGTCGGTCATGATATAGGACACTTGGTTAACATATTTAACCAGTGGTTTTCTGATACTTGCAGATCCACCACAAATCTACAGCAAGCCTGTTACCCTGACAGCCATGTTTGGCGCCACGACTGTATTACCTTGCCAGCATAAAGCACAACCCTTAGCTATAGTCAATTGGCAACTAGGAAGCCGATTGATAGCCATTAAGCAAGCAAACGGTAAGAAAGTGAATAATGGTTAATTTACTCAGATTTCTTGGGCAGCTTTATAGGGAGGATGGCGGTACATTTCTATTTTTTCTATTTTTTTAAAAAGACCAATCGATCTGATTAACTTTGTTGGGCATTTGTAGCACTAAAGCATGAACTACATGGCTCAGTACCTTTTTTACCGATGATTTTTTTGTTTCAATGTGCTGCGCTACCACGGACAACCATGCTTGAACCACGTTTAAAATGTTTAACTTTTTAGCGTACCTTTTTCGATTTGGATATATCAGGCTCTTAACATGTAATACATTGTTTATTACACATCCTAGATTGATACAATAACAAAACTCACAGTTTCAAGTTTACCGTGAAGTGATATCGTATAACTTCGATCACTGATATGGTATTTATTCACAGCTTTATCACTGACACTGATATCGAACCTAACGTACAGGTGCAACCCAAACCATTAATGACGCAAAGCTGACAGTACGTCAGGACGGTGGTCTGGTTATCAAGTCAGTAGCATATGGTGACGCAGGGGACTTTTTTTGTGTTGTACTTAATATTCGATTCTTGGCCAGCGTCAAGCACACACTCAAAGTTGAATGTAAGTATTCGATAATTTGGTGAGAACGTAACTAGACCAAACGGCCACTCAAAAAACTAGTTGCATTATTGTCTACGGAAATAAAGATTTTTTTGAGAAATTATGTTCAAAGCTCTGTCTTTGCGAACAAATGGTTTCCTTATAAAATTCATTTTTGTACACATTTTGTCCAGTGATGTAAATCAGTGCCAAAATAGTCCTTATTGTATCTAAAGTTTCTGAAGGAATGTTCCAAAAAAGAGATTTCCCCCAGTCTAAATCATGACAATGTTTATATATATATGTGGTTTTCGAGAGTGGGAAACGGTAAAGCATGATATAACATTGAAATGGCTTCCCATTGTCTTCCATCAATTCATCCTATTTCATCAAGTAGTTAAGGTTACGTAAGATACAGTATACGGCTACAGTACGCTTATGAATTTGCCGTTTCGTTTCCCACTCCCTAACATTTCATCGACCTCTTTTTTCACAGCTGTTCCACTGATGGGTGTTGGACACCTTATCAGCGGTAACTACACAAAACAGCATGCGTATCATGTAGGAGACAACGTGACTATTGATTGCCAAGTGATTGCTATGCCGGTACCTGTGATCTCATGGACTAAAAACTCCCAAGCTCTTCAAACGACACAACGCTTAAAGGTTGGTTAACACAACTAACTATCCAATGAAGGGT